ATCTTGACTTATCGCATAGTAATAAATTATTAATATCAAAAATGTATTTTTGTTTCTTCAAACCAAAAAAAAAAGTAATTTTCTGTTTTGTTTTTTTCTTATATCAGGCTTTAAAGGGTTAAGGTTCTTAGACTTGATAAAGGGCTTTACATGTACAGGCTAATAACTATCATTTATAAAAAAAAAAATAAAAAAAAAGAATAAAGTTATTCTAAAATATTTTATAATTCACAGAAAACTACTAACATCTGATTGGCTGCATAGTGATACGGATTCTGGATTTTAAAAAATAGGCTCCACTTGTTTCTGCCTCTCCCACAGCTCAACAACATGGATTTGAAGTACTTTTGTCTTTATAGTTGTGTGTCTTTAGTTTGTCTTGTGATGGACTGGCGATCTGTCCTTCCTTTACCCTACGATCGCTGTAGATAGGCAGCCGCCTCTGCAACCCTGTTAAGATAAGCAGCTGTAGAAGGAGGAAGTAGTGAGGGAAGCATTGGGTGCACGAATGCATGGATGGGGTTGGTAAAGATTCAGTCCTTGAAATGTAATGTAAGATAGAAAGCTAGTTTAGATTCCTCCCATTCAATCTAAACTTTTTACAAATTGGTATTGAACATTGACCTCACGTGATTGCATTCCTTGTTATAGCCCAGGAAAATCACTCACAGTCATTCACAAATTATGCTTCGCTGCTTACAACTATAGATCAGTGACAGATCATGTTTTGAGATGGCAGATTGTTATCATACTAACTATGTATATTGCTTTTGTAAACACAAATCCCGTCTGCAGTTCCATGTGAATGCATATGTGACTGCAGAGCATGTGGGTCAGTGTGCTGCTTAAATAAAGCCAAGCAAGTTACCTTTGACCGAGATGCATGCACCAATTGGAGCAAAGTACAATGAGGAAATGTGTTATTTAAGCGTCTAAGACCTCACCCTTCAACATCTGCTGCCTCTGAAACATATGAGAGTAATAACGCACACACACACGCACGAACACACAGGCGAGGAGAAGGGAATACAAAAATCCTTCTCAGTCTCCCAAGAGATTTTTATCTGGGTGTGTCTTAAAAATCACAGACCTCCATCTGGCCTTTGCAGTTTCACTCGATGGAGTGGAGGAAAACGAAGCGATGAGGGGAAACAGAAAAAGTAAACATGAAAAGAAGATGAAAGGATTTAAGCCTTGATATTCAATCAGATGCTGATTTTGCTTGGCTGGAAACTCAACATATAGAAGAGACATGAACGCATGAAGTGACACAATAACTACAAAACTACACCCACACTGCCACACATACACTGCAAGTAGGCTTGTATATCAAATCCAGATGAGAATAACACAGGCCTGTTCCAGCCTTACGTCACCAGGAACAATTTACAGAGCGGGGCAAGAGGTGAAAATCCAGGCAGATTAAAGGGGAAAGAATGAAAAAAAAGAGAAGAAAGCTTACAAACACAAAAAAAGAAAAGGTCTAACATAACAAAAAAAGCAAACAATTTCCATAGATTCTTAGTATAATGAGGAAAGAATTTATTGTGCGAAATCCTACAGTGTGAATGGAAAGTGGCTGAAAGAAAAAAAAAAATACTGTAAAACAGAAGAATTAGTAACAATAAGTCAACAGAGAGAATGGCTTCATCTG